TGACAACTTCGATCGAAAAGCGGTGCCGCCCCTACGTTTTCCCAAAACGCTTTGCGCGTTGAAGGACGCAAACCGGACACTTTCGGTTGTTGCCTTACTAGGGGCAACATTCAATTCGGACCAAATTGGGTTGGGGGGGCAGGGGGCGGGGGGTGACACCCCCAGTGGTCGGGGTATGTCTTAGGAATACTCGCACATGCACCTGGTGTCTTCCCCCGGTGCGAGAAACGTCATTTTCCACAATATCTCACGATATAACGATACCTGTCAAATTTCCCATGCTAACAGCATGGAGGACCCAAATTTGGTCCGATTTTAACTTTCGAGGGGTGCGTTTTGATCGTCTCGGCGAGGCACGGCCCTCGAACCCTCACCCTTCGGGTTCGGGCTGAAAACTGCCCTCAAAATTGAGCTGCGACTCGCCGTTTGGCCGCTAGGGGCGATTGAACACTTTTTTGAACATTTGAACATAACTCGCGAACGAATTGAGCTAGAGATATTGGAAAGATTCCTCCAGTATAGTGACTGCCCCAGAGCCGTGTAATTATTACTTACATTGTCCCACAACCATTGCCCGGCCTGGGAGGGCCGCACATCAGTAAGGGCCGCATACATCACGACATCAAATCTGTCCACTAAGTCCATCGTCCCTCCAACTGGAATCAGTACATAACACGTTACAACAACACCTACAAAACCGGGGACTGCACACAGGTACTGGATACTCACATGACCAGTCGACGACCTCACAGTTATGAAGCAGCTTACGGCCTGCACACGGCAGTTCCACACCGGCTGTGACGAGTAAGTGAACTCCCCCGGCCAATAAATTCACATTGACGGGGCTGCAGTTGTTCAGGGCGAACTCCCTCGTATTCTGGAAGCAATACGGAGCCAGTTGCGGTTGCAAAGCGCCGGGTGGGACGATCCAGTACTCCTTCCTGACACCATTTCGAACTACAAACCACTCGGGTGTCATTTCTTTGCTATGCCCTTCGATTTCTCTCCCGAACGGCGACTGAAACACTGACGGCCGGGCCTGTCGCAGTCACCCACCTGATTCCTGGACAGTCTGGATTTCCCCGCCCTTTCTCCAACCAGCGTGGCGCCCTGCCACTTTTTCATAAAACTTCATATGAGTATGAGAAATTAAATGATCGGGGGACATTTCGAATGTAAAGTGTAATAAGTCATAACAGTGTAAATACAATTATTATTAAATTATTTTTAATAGTACGTCGTCCAGTGTAGCGTTCCCCGAAAGTGGAAGCGTGACCGTATGTACGTCAACTAATGTCATGGAACTAATGCGTGTATTATGTGAACATACCGTATCCGAAAAGTAAGTTCGATGAGGTGTACAGAGACGAGATATATTGTCAATACTGAGTGATTGTCAGACCGTTTATGAAGAAAGTGTTGGGCCCCTATCCACCGCCTACCAGCGCCTGATTCCACAGGCGAATCGCGGGCGTAACTGCAAGGAACAGGCTGAGGAGTGTCACAGAGATGGTCCGGAAAGGTGTCAGAAGGTTCCTTTCTGCCCCTTCTAAACGACACAGACATTATGGGCCGGCTAAGGTAACATTTAACACCTTGATCACGAATTGCACTGCTTCAGTTCCCCATCGTTGCTGTAATTGAACTTGTACTGTGCAGAGGCGTCGGCGACTTAGAGAAGAGGTTATGGCAGGCCCAACCAGCAGCGAAAACCACTGTCAAAGGATGGAGCTTTCACCCAGCGAGGGTTTTTTGGGATTTGACATTCACAGTCCTCTGACGGCATTTAGGGTGAGTTTCTACTGGAGAATAAAGACTGAATGTGAGAAGTTGCATTAATACAATCACATCATTCCACAGCCAACCTAGCAAAGGCCTACAGAAAGGGTTCGCGTGTTAAGTTTGTTCGACGGCATAGGGGCGGCTAGGCTGGCACTGCAGAGACTTTCTCTTGACGTGGAGAAGTACTGGTGGGTGGTTATTTTCTTTTTAGTTCTTTGGAAAGAATTGTGAGGCACGTTACATTATTTTCTGGTATTCTTTCAGGTCGTCTGAGGTGGACCCTCAATGCCTCCGTGTACTGAAAGAAAACCACACAGATATTTTACACATTGGTGATGTGAGGGATTTAAATACTGACATCATTGCATCAATGGGGACAGTCTCCTTTTTATGTGGAGGGTCACCCTGTAACGAGGTCTCCAGGTGAGTTCTTGGTGGCTCCAGCACAAAGTGACTTTTGGTACATGTTGTCACAAAGTAATGGAATGCTTTTGTCCTCAGGGTGAATGGCGGAAGACGTGGATTATTTGATGAAGAGGGGGACTCAAATTTGTTTTTTCATTTTGTGCGCATATTGAAACAACTGCAAGCAGCTGCAGTGGCAAGGGAAAGCCGTTTCTACTTCTTCTTTGAGAACACTGCTCATTTAGATGCAGTCACCCTGGAAGCTTTCACAAAGTGAGTACAACTTGTTCAGCTGTGCTTGTACATGTCATCAGACGGTCATTAACATGCAGGTATCTTGTTAATAGGGAGTTAGGCTGCAAGCCGATCGTCCGCTGTGCTGCCCATTACAGTGCCACGAAAAGGAAACGTCTCTTCTGGTCTAATCTGCCAGGTTTCCATGACAAGGAACTACCCATGAAAAATAACAGAGTGCTCCAGGATTATATCGGGCCAGCCAGAAAAGCACTGGTCCAGGTAGCAAAGACATTCACGACAAACAGAGGAGGGCAGAGGCGTAGTAACGGGGAGCTGCAGGTTGAATTTGAGGGCCAGAAGGAGTTCCTTTATGCGGCAGACCAGGAGAGGCTCCTAGGATTCCCGGACGGGTACACTGATAAGGGAGGCATGAGCCAAACTGCCCGGTCGGCATTATTGGGAAGGACATGGTCAGTCGATGTTGTCATGGATCTGTGGACACCACTGTGTGAGATATTCCGAGGTACAGGTTGAAGCAACATGAAGAAATCATTTTTATTTTCTGAGGAGGGTCTTTTTTGTTTGTATTTGCCCACTCTCCAGATTTGAAAAGCATTTCATGCTTTGTCTGATAGTGCAGCATATCCAAGTGCCTTAGAATAGTTTTAACTTAGCCAATAATTTTCACCCTTCTGAATATTATTTGTTTTGAGAATTGGAGAGTTTAACCTGTAACTCATATCCCTGCAGCTACTTATTGATCAAAATTTTAACTTTTGTGATCAGACCATATTTTGTAAAGTTATTGGAAACCAAGTTTAGTTTACTCATGTATATCCATATTTCCTAATTAAATCTTATGTTTACTGTGTACATTTTCAAATTAACCATGTGTTTTCCATTCCAATAAATATCTGTAGTACCTAGAATTTTGTACATTATTAACAAATGACATGAAACCGCAACAGATTTCCCCAGTCAACCAGAATGGAATCATTTTCTGTTTGGAGCATTTCCTTTTTTGAATGAACGTATTTCCAAATAAGAAATGAGTTGTACCTCCAAGATTATTAGCTTGGAAACCTATATGTAATTGAATCCAATGCAGAATTTTTGAGTATCACCTACAATACAGAGACACATTTGTCTTTGGGTCAAGTACCACCTCAGATGATAATTTAAGTAGCTACTCATATCAAAAGAATGAAATAGATCGGATGAGACCGTTTGTGCCAAATGGGAATTGAGGGTGAAGGGAGAACACACGTGTTTCTTTCAAGAATGATCGGATGAAAACTTTATTACTGTTGCATAAATATCAAGTATTGGTCACAATGAAAACACAAATTTGTCGTGAATGTATCTCATTTTGCCAAGATTGATGAACCTACAAATCAAAATAGATAACATTTCCCTTCACTAAACTTTAAAAGGTTGATATGTTCACACATAAATATGTACAAAACCCCACAGTACAAACTACAACAGGTAGATGGATTAACACATTAACAATATCAGAATGCCATGAACTTGACTGTAAAGAGGTCCCAATAATTATACATGATAA